TTTGGTGGGGGCCAAACTAATTCCTATTGGTAGGAGGATGGTAGGAAAAGCCCTTAGAGAATGGACTTTACTTCTGGTCATGTGTCCATCAGAGAAAACATTAAGAACATTCCCACTTCGTCACAACAGGTACAACAAAATATAATATAATATATTTGATGCACAATGGAATCCACAATGGGTTTGTTCCATGCTTATGCTACTATGGTGTTTGTGTGGATAACCCAGGAAAAAAGGGTGCAAATAAAAAAAAAAGGGTGATATATATATATTTCAATATATATTGAATATTCAATATAATATATTGAAGCCGGTGAGTGCGGCTTCTGACTTTCCACTTTTACATCATTTAATAAAATATATATCAGCTTACAGGGTGGGTGGGGGGGACTAGACCCATTCCGGGCACCACCAAAATTATACAAACCTGCTGCCCCCGTGGATAAGGGCTATCAAATCAAAAGAGAAGCAGCAAATGAAAACACATTAGTCAGTACAGCTGTAGCCATGTCTGTTCTAGTGGTGAGGTAATATCTTTTATTGGACCAACTTCTGTTGGTGAGAGTTTGGCTCTCTCACCAACTGAAGTTGGTGCAATAAAAAGGCATTACCCTAACCCACTTTGTCTCTCTAATATTCATGTCCTGGAAATTTAAGTTAGGAATAAGGTGTTCACAGTGAGGAAGTGAAAAGGAAATCAAAGCTATGCAGATATACTGTATATCTGCAAAGATCTACAAAAGTTAAGCTTTTGCCATATTTGTGAAATTGAAAAATATGCAGAAATTAGTTTCAAGTGACTATTCCCAACCGGCAAGCAGCAGCAGTCACCTGCAGAGACTGATAGATGTAAGCATGAAAATAATTGAATGTAATGAATATAAGTCTTTAAGTATGAAAAGGCTTTTTTAATTGTATCCTTTGGTATATATGGTTGTGACTACTTTCTTCCACTATTTGATCTGAGGAAGTGGGTCTGGCCCACGAAAGCTCATCATCTAATAAACCATCTTGTTAGTCTTTAAAGTGCTACATTGTCCTGCATTTTGCTTCAACTACCCCAGACTAACACGGCTACATTTCTATCACAAGTCTTTAAGTAGTTCTACAATAGTTCAAAGCTTTAAGGAGAAACAGGAATACTTTGAAACTTAAGGGGTCTAACTGATCCCACTTTTATTCTGTCAGCGGTTTATTGTTGCATGCACCAACTCACTCACATGCAGTTCATAAGAAAAATCCAGGTATGAATGTGTACACTGACTTATTACATACACCTGACACTGTGGTTCTGAGCTCCTGACACAGTGCTGTAACACGCTGTAGTAGTGAAAAAAAGAGTAAGCAGGAAACACTACACAGCACTTAGAAATGGAACAACTATATGGAACAAAATTTTGAGGTCTATTTATACCTAGATATAACTTTCAAGATAAGGTGTTAATTTATTGATTTTAATCTATCCTGCGAGACAGAGTATCTTTCTAACTAAGAAGAACAAAAACCTAAGAACTTGGTGTTACTGTTTACTTTATCCAGCCAAAGTGAGAATTCATTATGGTAGATAGATTTCAAGACCAAAGAATGCTGTTAGCTATTCTCCAGTTCCTTGCCTTTGTAGAGGCTTAAGTGCATACTTTGTTTTTACAGGAAAACGGAGGCTGTTAAGTTGCCTGTGTATGGAAGTGATGCACTAAATATATTGCACTCTCTTTGGCAGCCCTTGAGAAGAGGACTGGGCTCTCATCACTAGCATCCAAGGGGACCTACTATGTATTCACTGTATATGTGCTTTTAAGAAAGGTGGTGAAAAAAGTTGAACAAGTAGCTACAAAATATGAGATTTCAATCCCTCTAATGATCAAAATTTAAATTTTTAAAATAACTTTATAAATGTATCAAAGTTCTTTTGTTTTGTTGATGTGTAACGCACATTTAATGGGCAGAGCAAAGAGTCACAAAAAAATTAATTTATGTTTTGGAGAATTGGCTGCGTATAATTTGGCACAGCTCTTAGGAACGGGTGTGTCTTGTAACAAATGAGAGTTTGAGTCTCAAGAGTGCACACAGGAGGAAGAGTCTGCAGGTCCCTCTCCAATTCATACCCTGACTTCAACTAGGTAAATGTTACTACAATTAGTGGGTATCTTGTGTACATATTTTAAGTGTGTGACTATAGCACAGCCTTCACATACTATGCCTCAAGACACCCCTTCCCAAGTGGGGCACAAGGAACTTTACCGTGAAATGACAAAGTTCAGGGGACTAGCTTGGTCACCATCAGTATTTGAAATTGTGTTTTTAATTTTCCTATTGTGCCTCTGCATTACATAGATGCTCCAAACAGAGTACTTTTCATGATACAAACAAGGAGCTCTGTGGCACCCTATTAACAGATTTATTTGGGCATAAGCTTTCATGGGCAAAGACTAATGGGGAACATGATAAAACTCTATAAAATCATGACTGGTATGGAAAAAGTGAATAAGGAAAAGTTATTTACTTATTTCCATAATAAAAGAACCAGGGGTCACCAAATGAAATTAATAGGCAGCAGGTTTAAAACAAACAAAAGGAAGTTCTTCTTCACTCAGCGCAGTCAACCTGTGAAACTCCTTGCCAGAGGATGCGGTAAAGGCTAGAACTTAACAGGGTTCAAGAAAGACCTAGATAGATTCATGGAAGTTAGGTCCCTAGCCTCTGTTTCTCTGGAGGTGGGGGACAGGGACGGGATCACGTAAGGATTATGTCTACCACATTTGAAAGCCAAATCATACTTGGACAAAATGCATTAAATAATAGTTCTAATTTTTGTGGCCATTTTCTTATTTCTGAACATTGCATGCAAGTGTTCAGACACTGTAATCACAGTGATCCCTCCCTCTGAGGCATCGGGTATTGGCCACTGTTGGCAGACAGGATACTGGGCTAGGTGGACCTTTGATCCGACCCAGTATGGCTGTTCTTATGTTCTTAAATTTGGTGGTCCTAGCTGTTTATATTTAGGAGGAGTTTTTTAACAAATGGACCTGTAGACAGAGACTCACAGACAGATAGACACAAATCTCTAATCATACAAATATAGCTGCTGAAACTGGTGATGTTCTAGAAATCTTTGTTATGTACAACTTCACTTAACCCTACTAGAAACAGAAGTGTATAGAGCAGGAGTAGTTTAAGGATTTAACATTAGCCTCATAGCTCTGCAGAGAAGAGTTCAATTTAAGAGGACACAGACTTCAGCAGAAGCTCTTGAAACAATCCTTTCTCCCTATTTTTTTCAGGTATTACGCAGCTTCACTGTGCAAGACAGATGGAATATTTTTAGCCTGGATCTTACTAGATTAGTCAAAGAATACGGTCAACTAAAAAACAAAAGTCACACATGCGCAAGAACTTCTTGTCACACTGAGAATGACTAACCAATTTGTAAAAAAACTGTTTCTAGATTTTTCAGTTCGTTTTGTGCATTCAACAGCAGTGTATACAGTCAATTTCAGTTTGTGTCTTGTGAGATCACTTGCCCTTTTATGTGTGTATCTTCCAAAGAACAACAAAATGAATGAGAATTTTCAGTAAAGATAAAGATAGTAAAGGCACCAAAAACCACCAGAACAATTCTGGCTTTGGCAAAAATACCTGAAACTGCTACCAACTCACAGTTTCAAACTTGCTAGATTTCAATCGCAATAATCTTTAAATACAAGAGAAAATGCAATATTTGGTCTGCTGAAAGTTACGTCCAACATTCAATACTTTTTTTTAAAGTATTCTAAGCATCCAATTTTCATGTTTGTTTAGACAGAAAATCAGGCTTCATACAAGAAGATTACTTATGCTTATGTCTACCACATTTGAAAGCAAAACCATACTTGGACAAAATGCATTAAATAATAGTTCTAATTTTTGTGGCCATTTTCTTATTTATGAGCATTGCATGCAAGTGTTCAGACACTGTAATCACAGGGGCATATGTATACTTAAGCGTCTCCTAAATATAATCAGAATAGTAACTTAATCTTTGGCACATATTTGTCTGCAAGGCAGCATGTTCTTGTGGATAAGATATTGGGCTGGAAGTCAGGAGACCGTTGCTTTTCCATAGAATTGTTGTGATGTTTTGGATTGCTTCACCTTTCTGCCTCAGTTTTCCCATGTGTAAAATGGGGGGAGAAGGGGAATGATATTTACCCTCCTATTTGAGATCCTCTGAGATCTATGGAAGTGTCATAAATAAAGCCAAGTAAGTAGGTTGACACAAACTGCCTACAAGAAAATATTATCTTTGCCAAATACATTTTTGAAATTCTGCAATTTGACAAAAGTGGAAACATTCCTGCAAAAGATTGAAATGTTTTAAATAATTTGGTTTTTTTGTATGGAAAATATTTAACATATTTTGACTTAGGGTATCATTTTAAAAATTAACTGTTAGAAATCTGGTTGTAAAAATACAGTTTTTTAGGTCTGAAGGGAACAGAAATTTGGTATTTTATTATCCTTCATCCATATGTCTTCAGAGTTTGGTATAAAAGAAAAACTGATTTTCTTTATTCAGAAGAAACTGAATCCTCTTAGAGCAGGACAGGTCAGAAGTGAGATACATGGGCAGCCAGTCCTACAAGGTGAAAGTCTGCGTGACAGAACTACTGTAGCGTAAGCAAGAAAGTAATTCACTTTTCACAAGTACTAAAAATTTAGATTTTTCTTGATGTGCATCTCTAACATTTAATTCTCTAATGATGTTTACAGCAAGGCAATTTCTATGAGCAAAGTTTTCCATGGCTGGGGAGTAGAGAGAAACCACAAAAGCGAATTTCTCTCCTTCCAACAAACTAGTAAGATTATTTTTTTTTCTTTTAAACAAGCAGTGTTTTGGGAGGCTTACCAACTTTTGTCTATAAAAGAATTTTACTTCGTCATGGTATTTGTTATTTTCTTATTTCTATAACACTTGAGAGAGATTACGGTGCATCAAATTATATATATGAATTACTTACCTAACATTTCTGTTTTTAATTTTTCATTCCGCTCTTCAATCTGTTGAGGTAATCGCTGAAAGAGTATAAGAAGACCAGATTCAGGAGGATGATTTGGCATTCTTGTAAACTAAATGTATACATTTTTTATACATGTAACCAAGACAAACAACCACTGCTTATGATCTAAAAGAAATGCAGATGTAAAATAAGGGCTCTTCCATCATGTGTAGCGGAGCCTAAACTCTGCCCTATTATTAGATATGGGGAAATGCAGTGCTCATTTACAAGTAATTTTGCCCCTCTAAGTTAAGGCAGTCAGATGGTGCTATTTGTTTACTAGTATTTTAATTGAAAAGCAAATAGAATTTTAAAAAAAGACAGAACTGAAATATAGTTTTAGCTACATCTCCAGCATGGCATTTATTAGTCTTGATAAAGAGACTGTAAAAGAAGCAAAACTGCAAGCAGGCACTGTGTTTAAGTTACGAACACAGACTGGGGGGGGGGGGGGGGGGAGAAGAAGAGGAAGATAGCTGGGAATCTGGGACATTTGTATATTATAGAAAATTTCAGATGGTGGTTTTGACAACTGTTCTTTACATTTGCTATTTATGCATCTTAGGATTCAACTTACCATTTGGTAAAGGAAAAAAGAGAAACAGTCTAATGTATATCCACAGAACTCTATCACTGAGATAGATTGTTATAACAAAATTAAAATGTAGTATGGATGACATCCATTCATGGTACATCACATACGTATTCAAAGGAATCTTTCGTGAGATTTTTCTTTGGTGCTCATCAACTTATAACTGAGCATTTGAGGGAGTAATTCTATGCACTGAAGAACTGCAGTCACAGCTCTTAATGCTAGGGGCTCTTCTTGTTGGACACAGACTTGTACAAGAGGAGAGACAAAATTGCTTCAGCAGTACCCAACAGATGCAGTAATAATGATAGCTAATTAAGATAACAGATGAGGAATTCACTCCCCACTTGCTCCTGGAATCTTAGAGATCACCTTTGTACATGTAATTCACTTTTCAGGGGTAAGGATGTTTAATTTAGATTAATCAGCTAATCGAATAGTCAATGTAATTTGCATTGACTATTCGATTAGTCGATAAGGGTGCCTCTGCCTTTGAAATGTATAAGAGCCCTGGTTGGCTGTTTGAGTCCCCTGCTGGCCCCAGGCGCCCCACAGCACTTCTGCTTTTGAAATGCATCAAAAGCCCTGCTCTTGCTACATTTCAAAGGCAGAAGTGTAGCCAGTTCCCTGCTGCACTCCTGCCCCTTCTCCCCACAGAAACAGTGCTGGAGGGGCAACACTAGCTTTTAAGCTGGCTCCCATCAGCACCGTATCCTGCTCCACCCCCTTGCTGCAAGTCTCATAGTCGACTAGTGACTCGACTATCTGATGAGAAAGTTATCAGATAGTCAACTAGTCGCTTACATCCCTATTCAGGGGGGATAAGTGAAAACAGCCCCTTCCCTGCAAGTATAACCAGGACCTGAGAGGAAATGAATGAGGTATTCTGAGATAGAGGAATCTCAGTTTCCCCGAAGGCCAGAGAGGGAGGGAGATGTGACAGGGTGCGGTCACAGAAGACCCCTTGGGGAGGCTTCCCAGAATGCTGACAAGGCCATTGCCATTTGCCTTCCTGCTCTCTGGGGCTTCTCACTGCTCTGTCCTGCTGGGCCTGCCCCCTGATCTCCCCCAGCCAAGACAAGAGCTGAGATCACCGCCCACTGAGAAGCAGTACAGACACTGAAGCTCTTCAGGTCCTAGGAAAATGCATTTTGGGGTCCAGCTTCCTGGGATACCACTCCCCAAATGGGGTCACAACCCCAAATTAATTATTTAGGTAAGCCCCCTTTGACAATGAAAGGGGGACTGTACACACTGATTGCTCCCCTAGGTAACAATTACACTGGGCTTGATAGTAAATAAAAGTTATTTTATTAAGTACAAGCAGTAGGATTTAAGTGGTAATAAGTGAGAACAACCAGAGCAAAGTAGATTACAAACTTAAAATAACAGAAAATGCTTAGCTAATTCTAACACTGAAACCTCAGTACAAACTTATTACAAACTCACCCTGAAACTGTTTCTTTTCCAGCTAAACCTTCAAAC